ATGTAGTAATTTTGTTTTTTTGAAAATATAATATTTACATGTCATAGGTAAAAGATATTATATATATTTACAGTTATATGTGTATTGTATGCAACTAAAATGATACGATTGAACGTTATTTTTCTACTTTTTAATTTCCTTACTTTACATTTTTAGACTTATAGATGTTTCTTATTTGGTTGATTATCTTATATGCCTATAAAATTATAGGATTCGTGCTTAATATTGATTGTTTTCAACATCATGAATATAAAGATGAATCGTTTTGTTATACTTTTTAATTTAAAAAACCTACAATAGGTTTATAATTCATAAGTGCAATTTTACAATTGAGTTATTTTCCACACTAACTAATATCTACTTAATATTATACTCTGCTTTTAATTATTAATTAACAAACACATTGTTCTCAATTTCAACATTGTTCTAACCTAATTTAAGCATCATTGCATATGATTGTCAGTTTATTAGAGACTAATAAAATTAAGTCTCGATTGTGTTGTATGCATGCACTCAAATCATTTTCGAACTGTATAATATATTTGAGTTAATTTTTTTTTTTTTGATTGTGAACGAAAATAAACATAAATTCTCATACATACAACTTTAAATTGTTTTAAAAACAGATATTATTATAGTAATTCAATTGTATAATGTAATTTTATCTCTTTCTCTCTTAGACAAAAAAAAAAACTCTAGAAATACAACGTTTGGAACGCGAAATATATTTACGTACGTAATAATATGTATAAATTTCATTAATCATCATAATATTCCCGCGTTTTTCATCGTTATTATTTTTGAAACTTTCAACTTACTATACTTTTCTTTGTTCTATTCATCATTCCATTTCAATAGCCAATATCTTCTATTAAACATAATAATATAATGCACAGTTTGTAGGTTCGTAAAGAAATTGAATAGAAGAAAAAGAGATTCATATTATTATTTTAAATTGGGTGGAACTGTCTTAAGAGAATCACGGCCTTACGTCAAGGCCCGTCGTATATTATTATTCTTATTAATACTATTAATGCTAGTGACATCAAAGTATAGGGAGCTGCCATATAGCCCTATTGCAGTCGTGTACCGTGTACACCTGTTCGTCCCGCATCTACGTAAGTACCTTCCGGTCGATTTAAATCTCTTTGTTATAATGCGTGAAATCGTATGAACATGACTAATTAAAATATATACTGGCGTTTTCCACCTCGATTTAATCGCCGTCTTGAAATAAGTCGAATTCCGAAGAACTCGAACTATTTGAGTAAAAATTACTTTGGACCTATATGTGACTTCTTTGAATTCAAAATTTCATTAGGTATAAAAAGAGTCGGAGATAGTACAGGCGAATTCGTTTAATCAACTAAGTGAACTTCCACCATCGGTCACGATCTTTATAGTATTCCAAAAATGTATTTCACACAACATTTCACCACTAGCACCATCACGCATTGTCAGTGTATATCATATAATTATTCGGTTACCTGTAGGTACTGACGACATCACAAATCACCATCATTGTTACCACTCACTTGATTAAAATATACATACCCACTACCGAACTAGCTGTTAATAACGGTTTACCGATTTTTTCATATTAAAATTTTGATTTGTAGCTGTATATTATAATATGTTACATTGCACAGTGATGTATTTATACATTGTATTATAAACTTGATGATATAGGAATCGGCAACAATGAGTCATTTGTGAGTTGAAAACAAAAAGTTAAAAAGTTATCTATGTGTGGGGTAGTTTTTAAAGCATAAGAAATTCTTTTAAATAGGTACCTAATATATTTATGATATGTCAAAACTATATCCGGGCTAATAATATCATCTCAGTTAAACATTAAACAAACTATTTTAGGTTGATTTGAATATTTTTTGATTTAGTTGAATATAATATTGTTAGTGATTTGGTTAAGCTTTCTAGTTAACAAAATATATATTGTGTAATAAACAGAAAATTAGTAAGCTATTATATAGAATATAGATGCTGTTTTAATGATTTTTTTAAATTTATATTTATAGTTATTTACACAATAAATTTGTTTATACATTTAAATAAATAATCATTGAACACATTATTACTATGTATATAATATGAATAATATACATATTATGCGTGTATACACATAAACCAAGATACGCCATTATGGTAGGTAACAAAATTAATTTATACTCGGAATCTGTTTATTTGATTTAGATATTGGTATTTAATTTTCAATTTAATCAAAAACAGGTACACTCTACAGTGTTCTATTTAATTAAATAATAGTCTTTATGGGTTGGATAATGTCACGACAGAACTAATACAAATTATTACGTCTTGAAATACATATAAATTCAAAATTATACGTGCTAATAATCATCAATATTGATGACATTAAATAATATCATTGTAATTATTATTATTTTTGGTTAGATTATATGTTTTTACAAATCATAAGCTTAGATATATTCACCAAGATTGTTGTTTATATTCCTATATCATATTCATCGATTGTAATCAAAAAAATATTTCGTTTGATATGGAACTAGTCTAATCTATGCATAACGTACATAATATACCTACCTAACGATCCTCGTACTTCGAAGACTCGAGTAAACGTCATCAACACCAACAGCCGATCAACAAACACCTATAATTTTTCCAAAAGTTTTCATATTCAATTAAATATGCGAGTAAGACCAGAAAATATCTGTTTCGTTTACTTTAATACTTAATTGAACATATTATTTTTAAGACGGCTGACAAAATATCTAGGTATTCATCTAGACCAAAGATTAACATGGGCCACTCACATTAAAACCAAAAGAAAATCAATGAAAATAAAACTTCATAAACTTCGTCAACTTCTCCGTTCTAAAATATCACTTAGTGACAAAACTCTTGTATACAAACAATTAATTCGTCCTGCATTGACATACGGTATAGAAATCTGGGGCTCAACCAAAAACTCAAACCTAAATCTTCTCCAATCTTTTCAATCGATCAGTCTCCGTCTTATGACAAATATGCACCTTGGTATGTTAGTAACCTTACAATCCATAAAGACTAGAATATTCCAACTCTTCTCACCCTCGCTTCAACACACTATAAAAAATTGCACTCCAAAACAAATAATCATCCAAACCCGCTAATTTCTAACCTCTCCTCCAAGACTCTCCCGGATAACCCTCCCCGTCGACTAAAACGTAATTGGCCTCGTGATTTACTTCGCTAAATAATAAAAAAAATTAAAAAAAATAATAATAATAACCAGTTTGAAGTAGTGTCAATGGACGCTCCCTTCAGTCAAGCCTCCTAACCTTGTAAATAAAAAAAAAAATCTCACATTTACTTATTGTTTTATTTTTATTACAGATTGTAAATTTATATTATATTAAATAAAAAAAAAAAAGACGGCTGACGTGATGAGATGAAACGTTAAAATACCGTTTTGGAGTCGTCATTGATCGACATCCCCGATTGTGTTATTATTTTTCTTATATATTATTATAAAAAATTTAAACAGCTAAACAGGTATAACGATGATCAGAAGCTGTGACGACGATGACGATGGTACTGTAGTTGTATAATTCCGAGGCATGGGGTGTAGCGCTGTTCCAAGCATCACTAGTTGCTTCGCTAATTATTATTACCCTCGATCAAAAACGACACCCTTGCTGCTGTTGCGCATCGTCAAACTCAGATATTATATATACACGCACAGTTTGATAATATGCGTGTATACAATATACAGGATGATTTATCAGAATTCAAATTATTTAGATGGATTAAATGAGAAAATTCTGATGACCGTAATTGGTGAAGTATCCTGTATATATTTCACAAATTATCAAACGATCGGTTGCTCCTCTCCCCTAAGTATAGGAACCCGCCAGGGCGTGGTTTCATCACTATTTCGCACCCTCCGTGACGACTGAATTCCCTGTCCAAAAGTCCCGACTTACACTTTCACGCGCATACGCGGAGGTGTAATACGTTTACCGGTTTTCACGCAACGGAGACTTGCGGTGGACGACTTGATAGTAGCTAAGATCCGAGGGGTTGCGTGGGGGTGGCGACGTTGTAGACGTCTTTGTCACCGGATAATATACATTATTGTTATGTACTGTGTCATAAAATATATGTATACGTGACGACGTACTTATAGTAGTTGTGATAGTGGGTATATATGTAAACGCCGCACGCTTGCAATCTGCGAGAATAGCAAACACCACAGGAACGATGATAAATTAGCAACAGCGTATATAATATATGTATTAATATAAATTTGTGGACGTGTTTGTGCGCGTACACGCATGTGACCTCTCCCATCGCTGAGCGTTAAGACAATGATAGCGAATTAGCGTTATAATAGTATTATAACTAGGTATTCGCATTATAAACAAATTAAAATATGTGCTTGGTTGGGGGTATTATACAAAACATCGTGGCGTGGCGTGCAATGGTTACCTTTAAGAACTATAATATAGTATTTTAGCCATTGACAATAAAATTTAAAGCCATTTTTTAAAACGAAGATTACCTACTTTCACTGGTAAATATTAATAATAATTGCTGCCTAAATTCCGTTTATATTGTGCAGTGGTTTTAGTTTTCAAGAATTATACTCAATATACATAAAAACGATTAAATTGTGTTCTATAAAATATATGAAATACGTAATTAAGATTTGCAACGTGATAATAAACTAAAATGTACACCTAAGAGTTTTTAGTTTAAATTAAAATATAATTATCACAAAAATATTGAATCTTTAAGTTATGGCTGAATATGTCATAAAACAATTTATTTTAAAAACCATGTACTTATAGTACATATAACTTATATACTATTCGTTGTGAAGAAAAACAATATTTAACTACTCAGATTTATTAACAAAGTATAAATTTTAACTATTTTAACTAAAATATATAATTTAGAAAATTCAGAAGAAATAAAATCTATAAAACAATATAGTATATTAATACAATTTTATTTTTCAGGCTCTCAAATAGACTACTTAAAGAAAAATTTTAAACTCAAGTTTTCTTGAGGTAAGTGCTTTTTTATGTTATATGAAATAAATATATTATTTAATGTAATTTACACTCGAAAATTATTAAGCTACCATGCAACTTTTTCTGGTGTGGATTTTATCACTATTACCGTAGTGAGAAAGGTGGTTTTATATTTAAAAACTTTACTGGTTGTGCTTTATATTCAAATTAAAATATATAAAATTTAAAGTAATAATATATATTCATCATAGTTCAAATATCTATGATAAATATTCGATTTTATTTTTTATTATATAGAGGACGATTTATTCATGTATATTATATGCCCATATTTTCCTTCAATAACGAATCAAAAAAAAAATACTTAAACATCATATTATTTTCAATTGCCTATTTAGATTTCTTATCAAATTTTCGGAGTATTATTTCAAATCAGAATTAATCTTTCTCCTAAACATTTTTAAATTTAATAAATTTGAGTTTACTGTACTTATTCAGACAATTTTTTCAAATTACAAATAGTGATAACGATGCATATTTTATAATATTTTTATTCAATCGAAATAAATTGACGCTTGTAGATTGAAGAAATAGTCCAAAAATATTGGTTTAGTCGCACTTACAGTTTCATTTAATTCTTCGATAGTGATTCATCGATGGTATTTTACTTATACTTCATATAGTCATATGAGTCATGACTAAATCGTAGTTATTGATACTTATTAAAATAAAACTTTGATCAGTTTCAAGAGGGGGGGGGGGTTAACGCATCATTCACCCTTCACAAAACCCATCAATATCTTATGCAGCTTATGTTATGTTTGATGGATATAAATTATAAGTAATGGTTAAAAACACGAAGAATTATTTGTACTTGTTGATACTTATAAAACAATTAAATTTTCTATAGAATAAAATAGTGTATAATTTTTGAAATAAATTATAAATTGTCCAAAAAATGAGTACCAGATTTAAACATGAATACTCTTAGGTTTATAAAATTACATGACATAATAAATATTGTTAGGTAAGTAAAAAAAATTTCTTATGTTCCAATCAGTTATTATTTATTCAATCTAACATTTAAAATAAGAAAAACATATTTTTAAAACTATAATAAATAGGTTTTACTAAACTGTTCATAATATAATATAAATGGTAAATAAATATGTTCCATTTTTATTTTTTATTTTTTTTATTGATCTTAAAAAAATACAACACGGCAGAAATGTTTATTCTTATTAGGTATCGATTATTTACCTATTACTAACTGTTGTACTGAAATTCATTGTGTTTGGATTTTTTTTGCAATTTTTCACCGTTAGTACGAGTCGTTCTATTGTACCGACCATCTATGGCCTAGTAAACCGTTATCAATCACTGAATGTTACAACAGTCCGTGTAAACACGTGGGAAATGTCAACTATTCAATTCAGCTGTATCTATCTGTTATTATAGTGACAATAGTCATCAGTGTCTTTCAATGACGCACCAAACTTTTTTTTTATGTTCGATACTGTTATGCGTACAATTTTAAGTTGTACTTGTTTTTGTCATTAGATTTGCAAATATATTATTAAATGTATGGAAATCCTTCAAGGGAGTTTCGAGAATGAACAAATAACCAGAGACTCATTGGAAACTTATGAACCAAACCTGTTGCTTAGAAGTACCTTTCATATAATAATTATCCCAATCACTTTACATGACGTGTGCTTCATACAATTATTCAGTAGAAATATACCATAATGTCGTACCTTATAGTTGTTTTCTTCATTTCTTTCAATGAAAAATTATTTATTTATTTATTCAGAACGTCGAAGTCAATAGTGTATGGAAAATTGGTATCAATTATATGACAAAAGCTTGGATTTTTATAAGTATGTTTTTTCTTTTGTACATTCGAGTTAATATTATATCTACGAATTCTCAGTGATACTTTATAATGATTAATTTAAATATTATTATTATTTTAATTCAAATAAGAAACTATTGATAATAGCGTTTCGGATACATTCGCTAAAATACTTGACACTAAGAATTTAATATGTGATGTATATAACAACATCTTTTGTTTTTCTTGCGATAAACATCTTATATATACATAAAGACTATAGTCTTAGCGAATAATCTGCTTGTTGCGTGCAATGGTGTGGTAATCCGTTCATAAGTAATAACTTTGCGTACCTATACAGTTTGAAAACGTTTAACAACCAGGTTTAACGGACGTTAACAAAGTAAAGTGACTGGTCTTAATAATCTTAATCGTTTATGAACAATTTGAACGTATTTATATATGAATTGAATTGATGTCGATAAGTAGAAAACGAGATAGAAAGAAATAATTTAAAAATAAAACAGTATTACTATAACAATAACACCAACAACATCGTTTTCAGATGATTCGGTATACAAATAAGATTAGTGTTCGTGATTGTGGGTGAAAAACCACATTGTTGTTTTTTTTTTCTAAATAAAATATCCACACACATCTTTATGTGTATAATATAATATTATAAATTATAATATATTCGATGACGATGTCATAGTGTGCCAAAAAGAATAAATCATTAAGCTGATCATTCCGGGGACGGTGACGGGAGATTGTATAAAAGTGGCAAACGGTGTTGTAAGGCTCACTTATGATAATAATAATAATAATAATAATGGATTTTTAGAGTATTTCTCGTCACCACCACCGTGCATAACCACTGTACCGCACGCTATTGCAGTTTTTATGTACGGATGAGGGATCGAGATGCTGCAGCAGCAACAATGACATATCACATTAGATGATGAATTTCATATGCTGCGTCATTGTTTCACGTATAAGCTGACGTTTTAATGGAATCGTCGACAAGTGGTGGGGTGTATAATGTGGGTTGGCCGAGGTATATGTTTGGTGTATATACTTTGGGTGGCTCGACCGTTAACAGTTTTTTCATGCCCAGGCTATTTTTACATTATATACGCCATCCATAAAACAACCGAACATGTTTTATTCGATGTTTATTCTGCTCTGGCCTGCATTATTTATTTAATGTTTTCCCGTTCTGGTGGTATCATATTATATATTGTGTGCACATCGTCGCATTCCGGAAATCTGTTGTAAATCTTGCGGCGAAATCATTATCCCTTATCGTTGTCTAGTACACCATACTTCAGTCGTCTCAGTTGGGCTATACTGCTGGCCGTCGCATTGTAACTAACGGCACTGACGATGACGTGAATATACACATAAGCCGCTTAACGTTCATTTCCCCGAGTCACCAGTCGTAGATGACACACCGGTGCTTGTTATATTAGACCATATGAACACAGTTGCTGCGTAGCGGTTAGATGCTGCTGCGCTGATGACTGTCCTTTCTTCACCCCGTCGTTGCATCCGTTCTCAAGAATTATTATGTAAATACGATACCGTAAGGTGTTGCCCCAAAGGATTTGACTGAGGAAGTGTTGGTGATGAGGATGGCAGTTAGTAGGCTTGGTTGATGGTATGTGGTTAGACCCGCGCATTCGACTTCTTTTCTCGTCAAATATATTTGACCTTTAAATCTCTTGAAATATTCACTTTTTATATCGTTTTTATTATATTACATAAACAACGCTTTTTGTCGTCTTATTGTAGGAGTGCTGCCGCTGCACTGTCACTTTGACAGATATTTCAAACTTGAGAAAAAAAAAACTATAGTAGTATAATTCGAAGTGCTATATATTATATTCTAAAGCTTCTGCATTATCAAAATAATATATTCATCAGGAAGACAGTCGTATTTTTAGATCAGGATGTTGATTTATTACTTTACTCGGAAGTTATAACTAAGTTCCTATTCGTAACATTATAATCATTTCGAATGTGAAATGAATTTTAAATTTGAATAGTGACATCAAATAGAATTTTTTGTTGATTTTAATAAATAAATAAAAACATTATACTACGTATTTATGACCGATAACATAATCATCAATCCATCATTTTAAAGTTAATAATAGTGACATAATCGTATTATGCCATGATTTGGATGATATCTGTTTTATTTAATTTAATTATCCTAATAACACGCTTAATAATATATATGTTCACATATTTTGCCTCAGCTAAGCAAAATATCTATTATATTATAAGCCATTTTATATGTAACTACACACATGAAAAATCAATAAAATATTCGACATGTAAACCACAATAACTGCAAGGTCAATCTGTATTGTATTTATGAAATATCACAAAACGTTACATTATAATAAAATTGTAGGTATAGGTACTAGTCTTACGTTCGAGTTTAATTCGATTTAATCATGGTAGGTATATAACACTAATTGAATTCGCACCATTGATACAAATTTAATGGTAAAATTCTATATGAATTAGCCGTTAAATTAGTACACGTTTTATTGCCTTTATGCACGACGCATTAATTTACCTGGATTTCCAAATTTTATTTTATGGTGATTGCCGCAATATAAAATATATATAATTTATATAATATCCGTCTTATGGTCCTGATGTTTACGTGCAACATTATGTTTCGATCGAAACATTTTCCATTCTCTTCGCGTCAATCGACCGCACATAAAACGTACAAGTAGATTTTGTTCTCATGCCTCGTTTGACTTTTATATTATTATATATTATTTCATTACAGATTTTACTCGTACAAAGTTATTGGGATGTAAACATTATTTATCGGTCATTTCCGTTGTACAAAACAGGAACTGGATGATTTTTTTCCTCCTAAAGACCACTGACGGAAAATAAAACATTAATTCACCGTCACAAAAATCGATACTACTTCCCCTTTTTAATAATATGTGACCAAACGGAAACGCGATCCAGGGTAATGAAATGGGTGCGCGGTGGCGGCACAGTCCAAAGGATATTGTAGCCTTGCAAAGGGTATAATATATAATGGCTGCACAGTTTTTCTCAATAATTCTAACTATGGGTTTTCTCTCCTTCAGTCTGTGCAAGTTGAGCACATTGAATGCACCACTAATGGTCAAGGAAATACTATCGGGGGTT